CGATCGCGCGCTTCTATCGGCACGGAGAGCTTTGGGGGATCCCAAAGAATCGGACTTTTTTTTCTCTAATCGATCTCGCGCGTACTCTCCATAAAAATGTCCCTGTGGATAACTTACGTTCGGTCCGGCTACAAGAATAACGTGAGGAGGCGCAAGACCAACCGCTTGTCATCTACCTCAGTAAGTTTTTTTCCTTCGGTTTGTGGCGAAAGGTCGGTGAAGAAGACGGGATGTGTTTGTATGTGTTTGTTGTTCGTAAGACGTTTCGATATGATAGGAATAGGTCGTCCTCAGGCGACATGCAACTGAAAATAATAACAATGACGTAGTTGATGTAATTTTCTGAACAACGCAAGCTAAGTTTTTTCGCGTGGAAATTGATAGGTTTTCTTTGCATTTAAGTGAGAAAGGAGCTTTTTCCTTTAATATTCCCTTGGCTTCCTGTTGCTCTAATAATTCTATTAAATTGTCTAGTCACCCCTTTCTCTTAGGAACTTCAGCTCAGTGGTAATAGTGTGTCTGAAAGTTTGTGTTTTCCAAAAAAGAAACAATGTTACGAAATAATAATGATATACTGAGTGTCCCTGAAATGAGTGCTAACATTTTAACCACGCATTAATCGTCAAAAGTAACAACTTTTGACTACATAATATATTTTTTTCAAAAACTTCTTGGTTTTTAAGAATTTGACGCCTACTCTTTGGACATCCTGTACAACGTGACTCATTATGTACGATTCGAAAGTTTTTTTTCACCAATGATTCCATCATCATCCACCATTGTTGCTATTTTTTTTATTGAAAATCCAGCTATTCAGCCTTAATCAACATCACTTAAAACCCCATGTACCTCAAATTTCACCAATTTATGACACGGAATAATTTTTTTATTCAGGCTTAAATTTTTTGTGTCCAAATCTAGCTGGCGTTGAATATACCTAAAATTGTAAAAGTCAGACTCTTTTATACCAGTTATAACCGTCAGTGTCAGGATAATCTTCTTCTTCAGACATTTATGCGTGTCTTTTGTTTTTTAGTCTTTTGCAGTTTTTTGTTTGTATTTTAAGTAATGCTGATTAAAGCTTTTGCCTTTTGGTAAAAGAATTCATAAGCTATTTTCCGAAAAATCGACAGGTGGCTATTTATAAATAAAAATTAATTAAAAACGAGTCCAAATAAAAAAAATTGTGTCTCCGCCCCCACCGTATCGAGCGGAGTAAGCATTTTACGGGACCCGACAAAATTAAGTTTATTTTAGAAAAAAGGGGGTCAATCATTGCGGACTATTTTTTATATTGAAGTAAAAATATTCAACTAGATGTGTAAATTTCAGACCAAAATAGTAATAAATGAGCTCGTAGCAATTAAAAAAAAAAATAAAAAATTGTCGGCTCCTGTTGGTCGTAGGACAATTTTTTTTTAATTCGTGTAAAAAATGTCAGCTTTCAAATTAATTCCTAATTAATTAGGTTTTCCAGGTTTCCCTCATTCCTGCACTGAATGGTGGTTAGGGCCTACCAACATAAGTCGTTCCTGGGCGCAAATGCGGCCTGCCTAATAATAATATGCCGCCTCCTCTCCCGCACAAGTCTCCGGACTTATGGGCTAATTCTCGTAATTAGAATGAGGAGTAGAGATATTATTATTATTATTATTATTATTATTATTATTATTATTATTATTATTATTATTATTAAATGGCAGTAATGCCATTCCGATTCAATTTCAACAATAAGAAAAAGATTTCGGTAGACTCCGCATATTTCCAATTATTTTGCAATTCGCGCACAATTTGCACAGGAAAGTACAATTCTTAGAGAAAATGTTAAGCCCAAGATGGGTCACGTAAGTGCGTTACTGTATGATTTATTGAAACTTAAAAAAAATTGTTTTTTTTTCGAAAAACTCAATTTTTGCAAAAACTATCAAATATATTGAAATTTTACAAAAATGCACTTATTCTACTTTCCAAGGACTACATATTCTGAAAGTTTCGTAAAAAAATCTTTTTCCGTTTTAAAGATGCAGAAATAAATAATTCCTAAATTTATACATTATACATTTGTACAATTTTTGTCTTTTTTTAAATGAAAAAAACTGATTTTTTGCAAACTTTGGACGCCATTTTGAAAATGAAGCCCTAATATTCAGCTGGGTAAAGTAGTTCATTCAATTCTACAGAATTTTTCCTAATTTAATTCTTTGTTATTACTGAACTAAATTTTGGCACATAAAAATCTAATTTGATTGGACTATAAATGATTACAAGCCACTCCACCGACGAGCTTAGACAACCTTAGGACACTGCACGACTGGTACTGTACTGTAAAAAATCCCTAAACCTCAGCGTCACCAATATTAATGATTCGTCTACAATGAACAATGACAAAATGTTGCGTCTACGCTCGAGATAATGCGATCGCTGATCGGTTGAATAGTATCTCGTGAAAAATAACACCGATCACCAGCCGGCGAAACAGAATGTTGTTTTAATGTAATCCCGCTCTCACAACTTTTAATTTTTCCAAACAAAACTGGTCACGTGACTTGTAATCATTTATGAATGCTCCGTATCACACTTACACACATTATTCCCTTCCCTCGGCGTAGTAAAACTATAAACAGTTTAGTTTTAGCACAAAATATATTACTGTATTGTTCAAATTTACGTGGTCGGTGTATTTCTATTTCATTTGTTTATACGGGGAGCTTTCTATATACATACCAATTTTTTTCTCGCGGATATGTAGGTTGTATTTTCGGCATCATTTGAATGTTTATAAAATAACTCAATCGATAAGCGATAATTCATCCTCCAGTACACCAACACGTGTATACGCTACGTAATTTAAGAGACCTTTGACAGCTCTAAATGTATGTATAAAAATACGAGCGTATTTTCAGAATCGTTTTGCTAAAATTGTCCTACAGTTTTGAAATTGGTACAATTTAATGGAAAATTATAAAATACTTGGTGTAATTAAACATAATTTAATTTGATTGAGCGGAGCTATAGAGGAAACGAACTGCAAAGGTCATGCTGGTGATATACAAATGTTAACATAATATTTAGATAAACCCAATTGTTTGCAGTTCACCAATTAAGAAATCTTAACAATTACAGAGATAGGGTTTTTATCACGGACAAAATTAACTGGGGGTTTTCCGAAAGAGATATACTGACACTGATAATAATTAATTATTGTTACTAAGTTATTTAAATTAAATTTCCTTATTTTGTTATTTCACCAACACAATATCTTCTCTAAAAAATATTTTGCTTCCGCATTTATTAAGTTGGCTTGATTGCTTCTCCGGAGCCAGCAAAGTGGCAATTAAAATATGTATATCGGGAGATTTTAGTTGGTGAACTATCCGGAATGTGAAAATTAGTCTTTTATTTGTGAATTATGGCATAGATCCAACCCTGTCTAAAATTACATCGGAGCATATAATTTCTTGTTTCTCGTCTTTCATTTAGAATCGTGATTCGCCTCCTGCCCCTGGTTACGCATTTATCTTTAGAATCCAGCAGCTGTATATAATAATTATATAATGTAGAAATTCTATGAAAAAAAATGAGTTGTTTGTAGACGAAATACTCCAAATAGTGTTCTTCGTTTAGTAACAAAATTATTGCGCAACAAACTTGCTCTTATGTAATTTTTTCCTCGAGGAGATACATGGGCTTTAAAGGGGAAAAGTAAATAAGGCTTATACAGGGTGTCCCATTGTCAGCGTACAAAAATTTACCAGGGGGTAGACCAGACGACCAAAATAAGGTTAAAATTCTTATAAAATATTTTTCTGCGATGCACTCTCACCGAGTTACAGGGTGTTGTTTATAAAAAAATGATAACTTTTCGCAATAACTCAAAAACCCTTTCAGGGATTTAAGTAATTTTTGGGTGGACAAGTTGGCCTAGGCCGCCCCTGGCGTCAGATGTAGTTTTAATGACCTTTACACTTCACACAAAAATTACTCAAGTTCCTGAAAGGGTTTTTGAGTTATTGCGGAAAGTTGTTATTATTTTTTTTAAACAACACCCTGTAACTCTCAATCAGTGAGAGTGCATCGTAGGAAAATATTTTATAAGAATTTTAATCTTATTTTAGTCTGGTCCACCCCGAGGTAAATTTTTGTACGCCGACATTGGGACACTCTGTATATGTACGATTTGACCCGGGAACCAACCGTTTTTGTCTTTTAACAATATTTCAAAAAATCGTAACAAATTTTCTGTCGGTTTTGGAGTAGATTCCCAAATAATGACGCGCTTATTTTCTTTTACGACAAGTATTACAGTTTTTCAAAAGAATTTTAGTTAATAGAATTAAAATAACTAAATCTAAACAACACTAACATACAAATAAATTAAATATCTAAACGTACAGATAATTTTAATTTATATTTAACTTAGTTTTCAACTTCGCTCAAATGGTCATTTCATTTTAGATGAAAAAGACGCAGAGTGCTATTAAATTAAAGGGTGTAAATTAGAGGTAGGGGAGAAAATGCACCCCTTTCAGTTTTTTAATTGTAGCTCGAAAACGAAGCAAAATTTCGCTATAGTTCATAACCTTAACCCGAGAAAACTCAACTTGTATATATTCGCTTATATTTATCTTATTTTTCTTATTACACAAGCAGACTATTACTATTCCGAAGGTTTTCGACGCGCTTAATCCTCAGTCCTGTTTTGTTAAATATTTTTGTAATCTAAAAAATATCTTTGTTATTCCCGTTACTGATTCATTGATTACGATACTTGTAACACCTTCCGTTACATCGTATTTACATCGAATCTTGTAACACCACCATTTTAAATATTTAAATAGTGACTCGGACGCTTGAAAGGGAAACCTGCGATTTGTCTTTCGCGTAACGCCGACGAGGTACCACTGCTGGTAATAAATTTTCTTCGTAAACGCCGCTTATCCCGACATTTATTTATTCCCGTCTTTCCACTCGTCCATATTGAACGACGGTTTTAATTTCAGAGCCATGGGGAATCAGAGACCGCCGAATCGCCTAGGCCCCTGTCCGAGACGAGCGAAATGAGCCTTGAGGTGGGCACCTTGAACAGGAAGCGGAAGAGTCCCAGCGACAAGCAGAGGCCCCTCACCAGATACCTGCCCATAAGGGGGTCGGACCTGGACCTTCGCCAGCACATAGAATCGGCCGGTGAGAGTTTTTATTTTGGCGTGTACAGTTAAAAATTTTTAAGGCGCGCTATTTTCATGAATATTTTTTTAAATGTAACGTTTTTTTTTTTTTAAATGCTTGTGAATCGATTACGGCCAAATTTTTTATAAAAAATGGGTAGAATTTAATTCTAGATATTAAATTTTTATCTCTTTTCATGTAGGCCACCAGGTGGTGCTGTGCCCGCACGTTTTAATAAATTCGAGCACGTGCCGGGGGTTCCTTCACAAGAAGGGTTCGAAGCTGAACGGGTGGTCCAGGAGGTGGTTCGTATTCGACAGGAACAAGCACACTCTGACCTATTACTCGGACAAAAGCGAAAAGAAGCCCAGAGGGGGGGCGTATTTCCAGGTAATGAAAAAAAAAGTTTGTAGGAACTGTTGGTCGTAGGATAAATTTTTTTTTTAAATTCGTGAAAAAATGTGAGTTTTCAAACGGCAATAGTGCCATTCCGATTAAATTTCAACGGTAACAAAAAAAGGATCTACATTTTTCGAACCGAAAAAAAAAGTCAAAGTTTCGGTTGATTTTTCTCGTATTTGCAATTATTCTGTTCCATCTAAAAGAATAAAATCGAAAATCTAATTGTTAAATTTTGAAAAAATGGGACAAATCGAGGCGGTGTAGCCCCGAAATATCGTGTACGGAGATAATTCGGAATCGTCGTCGATAAAAAGAGCAAATTACTCATAAACGGCTTTTCCAGGCCATCGAGGAGGTCTACTTGGACCACCTGAACAGCGTGAAGTCGCCCAACCCCCAACTGACGTTCATCGTTAAGACGCACGAACGTCTCTATTACTTGATGGCGCCGTCCCCGGAGGCCATGAGGATATGGGTGGACGTCATCTTTACCGGCGCCGAGGGATATCGGGAGTTCGAGCATGGCACCTGATGGTAAATTGCCAGCCCGTTCCGCGTCGGTTCACCGAATTTACATATTGTTACGTATGTAACGGAGTTTATTGTTCGTAATGGATAAACAGATCTAATTAGCTGGATATATTTTTATAATATAGCGATTAGGAGGTAGTTTTTATATTACTTTTGTACATAAACTTGGGGGTTCAATAATGTAACGTGATAAAGGACTATTTTTGTACGTCTAAATCGAATGGCCGTTTGCGATGTTGTGCGGTGCCTTTTGCGAGAGTCGCAAGTGCGGTGGCAGGTTTGTCGTCATTTCTTTTTAATGTGTTTTATGTTTTAAGACTGTGCACAACCAATATTTCTTGTAATTCTTATGTTTAATGAATATTAAAAATACGTTTGAAAAAAAAAACGCCGTTTCATTAATCTCAATCATTTATCAAATATTTCACTAAACCATTACCACAGCGCCTCTGGTGATTTGGAAGCCTAACTAATGCATAATGTAGACAACCGTAGATATGCATATGTACATTTGGTTGCCTAATTTAAGTGCAGTATTTATTGTTGCCCATGGGTATTAATTATTATTAAATATTTTTCCTTTATATTTAAAAGTTTAAATATATATTAAAGTAAAGAAATCTACCTTGTTTAAATTGTCCATACTTTAATATATATATTTAAACTTTTAAATATAAAGGAAAAGCATAAACATACCAGAACCCCATTTGTTTAAAGGAATAAAAAAATATTTTATGAAATACAAAACAATTTATTATATAAACTAGAAATGGTTCATTACAACGGAAAGGACATATTTAATACTAAGACTTACTTATCTAAATTATTCTGAGTAAAAATATGTTATGTACTACCAATTTTCTTATATTTACATAACTTAACAAATTCATAAGATTGTTCCAACAGCTGCAGGCCATTTTCAAATTGTCGGAACTCAAAATGAAGTTATTTTATGGCCAGAGATTAATCATAAAGAATATAATTATGTCCAAGCCATGCAATCTTTATTTATTAATTAATATAATTAACTGATTGAAATAACAATTTTACGAGTACCAAGTAAAATGCAGAGAAACTACTGTTGTTTATCTACTAATATCTCTAGATATTAAATTGTATCAGCTTATATATTAACAAATCCGATAAAAAGTATTATTTCACTTCAAAATGTTAGTACTCATTATTATTAAGATA